AAAGGAAATAGTTTAGACTCATATACCTGTTGGAGTATCGAGGTTAGACTCATATACCTGTTGGAGTATCGAGGAGCAGTTTATACTCGTATACTCTTCGGAGTGAGGGGAAACAGTTTATACTCTTTATACTCGTGTACCCAATGGAGTTTGGGGAAACAGTTTATACTCGTGTATCCAATGGAGTATGAGTCATCTTTACTTGGCTTGTTTCGTCGTTATGACGCCAGAGTCAATTAATGCTTGGATTTTATTTTTGAGTCCGAAGCAAATCTCAGTGGGATGAAGAACCCTTCTGTGGTACGCACAGTAGTTTAGATCCGTAATCCTTTTAGCTCCCTCCTGATCTTTAATAGGTGGTAGCTTGATCTTGTCGTTGGCGAGGAGGTATTTCAAGATGGCTGGAGCTTCATCATCTTCGAAAGAATACTCCTTTTGGAACCTCGGATCGAGAGTTGCGTTCACAGGAATTGTGGATGTCGTCGGTTGACCTCTCTCAACTTTCTTTCTTTTAAGAAAGTGTTCAGCTTGTTCGCCACGTAATTTTAACTCTTTCCAAGTTTTGGATGGTACGACCCCCAGGGCTTCTAGGACATCGATGGAGAGATTATTGTGGCATGTTTGCAGGATAAACTCCTCTGTAACAGGATCTCTGCAATTCATTGCTTTGTCACGGAAGTGCTTGACAAAATTATCAATAGACTCTCTGTCTTTTTGCTTCTCATCCAAAATGGTTCCGACTGACACTTCGGTGTCATCATCGAAGAAGTTGCTGAGGAACAAACTTTCCATGTCATCCCAGTAATTGATGCTCCCTGGCTTGAGCCGTAGGTACCAATCGAAGGAGGGCCCACGAAGGGTGCCAACGAATGACCGGACCATTAAAGCCTCGTTTCCAGATACCATGCCCAAATGAGACTTGAAATAAATCAAGTGCTGAATCGGCGAACTCTTCCCCTCAAATGGTGTGAAGTTAATCAAATTGAATTTTGCTGGGTACGGTATTGAATCCCATTCTCTTGGATAGGGACATGGAATACCCATCTTTTTCACTTCTTGAGCCGTCATCAAAGCGTTGATTTTGTTTTCAAGCTCTTTCATTTTCTCGTCATCGTCTTTGTCTTCATTTGAAGGACATTGAGGAGAATAAGTTAGACCACCCCCTGTAAGAGGTGCCATTGAACCACCCCCAATATCGTTATTGGGAGGATGTATTAAACCACCCCCAGCGTCATTGCTATTGGGAGGTGTATCAGCCATAATGACTTCATCCACTTCTGGATCACTGTCATCTACAACATTCTGAGTGTGGCGGCTGGATTCAGCTCGTTGACTGGACTCAGGAGGTTGAGGCCGTTGAGCTAGCAATTCCCTCATTTGTTGGATAGCCAACTCCATCTCTGTCTTCATCTCAGCTCTAACTTCTTCACATTGCTTCGCTAGAGCTTCTTGAAGCATTTGAGCAAATTGATCAGAGGTGATCATGAGTACTTATCTGGTTTGTCCCGTGCTAGACATTGTATCATCAGAAGCGATTGCAGAACAAGTGTCCGAGAATTCATCCTCCGAGGACATTCCTTCTTGCATTCTTTTGTAATCTCTGCGCCTGATGGCTCCTAATTGGAGTCGAGACATCCTTTGAGCAATTCTTGGATTGACTTTTCCTCTCGGGGAAAAGTCGGGATTTAAGTCATTTGAATGCCGCTTAGACTTTCTTTTATCAGCCATGTTGATGGTGACTTTAGGGAATTCATCATCTTGGGCAGCTGATTTTCTCTTGCGGAAATGTCTCGGCTTAGGCTTCAACATTTCGCTGAAAAGACTGTGGAATACCGAGACTCTTCGTGGGATGACTTCTCGTTTGAAACAGTCACATTCTGATAGCATTGCTCTAATGAGTCGCGCACAGGAACAATGAGAGCTTATTTCTTGAATAACTCTCTTTCGAAATTTATTCACAACTCCAACTTGATAATACGATTCATCGGTATGATTGCCAAAAAATCGTATCGTCTGTTGGCATGACCTCCCAGGTATGACGATGTCATTTGGTGAATGCGTCTTCTTCTGGGGGTGTAAAACCTTGTTGGCATTCTCAGGACAATTTATTACTGTCTTTGAGCGATCCAAGGTTATATCGGGAGTCGCATGTTTAGAACCACCCCCTTGCGGGTATGGAGTCTTAACGGGCTCCGAATGCTGATTTTGTACAACTCCAGACTTTGGAATCCAAACTTTGTAGAGTTTTGGTGGTTCTTTGGCCACCGTTTTCTTTTTTCTTTCCCGTCTTTGTTGTAAGAGAGCACGGGCATGAGCAGCGTTTGCACGACGTTTTTGTATACGTTCTTTGAGGGTCGAGCGAGCCCTCTTGACAAAAGTCCATTTATCCGTCGTTATTTTAGCAGAGATATGAGTGATTGGTTGTTGAGACAACTGAACCACTCGATGTCTCCTCGACTCTAGGTCCGCGTGATAACGAACCCGTCGGTTTGTTCCAAGGCCTTAGCTATTTGACGAGCGCGGCGCTGACGTTGTCTCTGACGAGCCCTCTTCGTCAGTGCCGGTGGGCTTTGATTCAATGACTTTCTAACTAGAGAAGAGTCATCGTGAGCAGAGATGTTGCGAGTAGAATCCTCAGCAACAATCAGGAGAGAGTCTTCATTTTGTACCTTCTTTGGCATGTAAGTCTTCTTCAATGGTGAGATCCTCTTGTACTTGTGAGACAATGAAGATCTTAGAGAGGATGATGAGAGATATTCCTCAAACTTGGTTTTGTCGAATTCGTATTCGACCATGGATTCAACTGGAATCTTGATTGGCTGCAACACGATGGTCTCGGCAGCGAGACCGTTGGCTCCCACTGTGGTTGCCAGTTTGTTTTCGTTAAAAGTTGGTTTTATTGTGGAATTCATTATATCTTCGGTCGATTACAACAAATTCAAAAGAAATAGTCTTTTTATAAGACTTCTTTTACACAACAAAAGAAAAATTACAACTTTTTAGAAACAAACGCAGGATCGTTGTTTGGATCGCTGCTTGCGTGGGATCTTTGCCTGTGCCGGAGGCGCGTTAGCCCGTGGACCACCGAATCACAGATTCTGATTGAACCGTGAGGGGTTTAATGATTCTTCCTTCGTTTATCGAAGTAAGAATTTGAAGCGAATATCTGGTTACCAGCACGTTTCATCGTGCTTGAAACCGTTCTCCCACGACCTTTAACCACCTTTTTCGTGGTTTAACTGCTTGTTCACGTCAGCACACGTTCTATCTCTGATATGCTGCCACGTGGGCTTCAAATAATCATTACATAACTGCATTGTAACCGCTATAGCATCCCCTATAATGGTCGCGGCACCATAATTTGCAGCGCCTAAGCCGCGGCACCATAGACTGCCGCGCATTTGCCGCGGCACCATGGGCTGCCGCGCCTTAGCCGCGGCACCATGTCCTGTCGCGCCGTAGTGTGTTGCCTGATGATGTGTATATTGTTCTTCTATGTTATCTCACTTCCTTTGAATGATCCCCTCTGATTAAGAGACTGGTGTTTACTACCTTCTCTTTGTCTTGAGTGGTATTTGGATGTCCGTAAGCATTTTTTGACGCCTACAATCATCTCAATCCAAAAAATTAAATTTTGTTTGGGAGAGCGTAAGTCTGCCAATGTCCCTAATCGAACATTGTTCATGAATTTCTATCATAAAGGAAGCTCTGGTTGTTATTGATAGTGTTGTTGACGCGAGACGACAACGATGATCGTGGAAAACCGGACGATAAAGGATAGTTGTGTTTGATCACCGACGCTACGTGGGGAGATCACGAAGATGGGAAAAGAAATGTTTGGTCGCCGGTTGTGGATTTGGGAAAATGATAGTGTTTTGGGATTGAGCCTTAGGTTTATTGATCAGAAGAGATAGTCGACTGTCACTTACCAAAACACCCTTAATGCTAGCCAGCTCATTAACAAGTTAGATACGACACATCACATGTCCCCTGTGTCCGTCCCATTTTTGGTCCTCCTAGTACTACTCTGCAAAATCAATCCATTTATAAGAGAGTTTACGTGAAAGAAAAAAACATCAAAAATGGTTTTCACCAATTTCATCTATTTTAAAGATAGTTTCTAAGAAACCCTCTCCCCTCCCCCCCAAAAAACCGACAGCTTCGGTGCTCCCAGATAACTTTTTGAGAGTTTCGGTGGCATGTTATTTAGTTGAAGTACCAGATACTTAGCTCTCTTAAACCTTAATTGCAGGTTACGATAGTTAAAAAGATAACATCTAAATAGATTGAACTTCTAGTCTAACTATAAAGGCAATTTACGAAATAATAGAGGAGATTAAGTTGTAGAAAAGATCGCTGTTACAGGGACCCAAAATTAGGGATCATTGAAGGGGACAAGTGAGATGTCCCCCTCCTATTGCATAATAAGCTGGCTATTGGCTCTTAATTTATTATGATTCATTGGTTGACTATGATTCATTTGACTTTTTTCTTTCTATTTGTGATTGAGACCGTATACCTTAAAAGTTATTTTTTTTTGTTGGGTACATACATATAATAACCTTTATGCTACTCCAACATTCAATTTTGTCAAAATTTAAATAATACGTTATTTGTTCTAAGACCCATCACTGATAAAAATGGCGGTGAAGCAATGTAGAGGAGAGAGCGAGAGATGGAGAGGAGAGAGAGAAAAGAGATAAAAGGAACAATTTGAAAGAGCAAAATTAAGAAAGGCTGTAAATGAAGGACAATAACACCCCCCCTTTTTTTGGGATCGTTTTCAATTTTTTTTCCGATTTAAAAATGATAAAAAAGCTTTGGGAGTAACGAAGCAAATGCTTGGGGGGTGGGGACGCAAAAAATCAAAAAATCAAAAAAAAAAAAAAACCGCGAACCAGAACGATACAGGGTGAAAAATCAGCAATACAGCCCAGCCCAATTGAACGTGGGCCGGCAGTAAGGGCAAATCCGTCAAAACGAAGAGTCCATGACAATAAAAGCCCAGACGCCTGCTGATACTGAAGAGCGATTAGGGTTTTTGCCTTCTCTGTCTCAGCCGCCGCTCTCCCTGTAGCCTCCTCCGTCCCCTCACTTCGCTGCAATCACCATGGTAAACAATTAGTTTTTTTTTAAATTTCGGCAATCCTTGACATAATCTCCTTAGTCGGTATATAATTTGCATTTAATTTCTGTTTACGTACTAGTTTTATAAGAAAATCCTAATGGAGCCTCTAGATCTATATGAATGCTTTATGCTGAAATAAATGAAAATTTTTGATACTGCGTCCCTTTAATTTGAAGATATTTCTGTTAGTGTTACTAATGGACGTACTGTTATTGGTTTTAGTGATGGTTAGAGCTTAAAGATTACCTTTTTAATGTGATATTTTTTGTTTAAATATGTTTTCTGGAGATGGGATTATTGGAAAATGTAAGCAGCGCCGAAAATCTACGGAGCCTATGTTTAAACATAATGTACTACAAAATGTAGTTTGGAATAAATGATGTCTATTGTTATTTTTCTGTCTTGTTTTGGAGATCTAATCTAGTTTTAAGGACGAAATGATCATTTCCCCCTTAAAAGTATTGGTGACTCCCAAGTCACCCCCTCAATTTACTTATTTTGCCACTTAAACTATGTTTGTAGTTTCAAAATGTTCATTTTGTGAGTCTATAATCAAATATTTAATAGATTAATAAGATACAAGTGTTCCTTTGCATTTCTTCCTGGGTTTTTATCAGTTTCTCTATTTTTCCTCCAAACTAAAGAACATTTTTAACTACTTTTCCCCAGAAATTTTTACCATTTAACTCTTTTTATGAATTAATTTTTTTTTAAATTGTAAAAATATGAGAAGTGGAAAAAGTACAATCACTCATTAGTCTGTTAAATATTTGATTGTATGCTCATAAAATGATCACATTGAGCACAAACACATAGTTTAAGGGGGAAATAGGCAAATTAAAAATATGAGAAGTGGAAAATGTACAATCACTCATTAGTCTGTTAAATATTTGATTGTATGCTCATAAAATGATCACATTGAACACAAACACATAGTTTAAGGGGGAAATAGGCAAATTAATACTTTAGCAACAACATGAGAGTTTGAGGGGGGAAATGATAGCTTTGTTCTAGTTTTTTGTATTGTCAAAATTGCTTTTTTATGTTTGTTTGTTAAGATGTGACATTCTTGATAATTGGTTTCTTGGTATTACAATAAGAGCTGTAACTCTTATTTTAAAGTATTAAAAATTAAAGAATTATTTGTAGTTCTAGGAACTCTGCTATATTGGTATCATATTGTGTACAAAATGATTTCTTTTATGGTTTTATGTCTGAGGATTGCTTAATATAAATTATAATTATGTTGAAAAAACTGGGAAGTTTCCTCTTCTAAGTTTTTTTGCTTTTGGTTTTGCAGTCGAAACGAAAGACCAGGGAGCCTAAGGAGGACAATGTGACCCTCGGACCGGCTGTCCGTGAAGGGGAGCATGTGTTTGGTGTTGCCCACATCTTTGCATCGTTCAATGACACTTTCATTGTGAGTGTTTCATGTTAGGTGTTCATGTGGCATTTGTATTTTAAATGTCTGTTATTTAACTGTTTTTTGTTCGCTGTACAGCATGTCACTGATTTGTCTGGAAGGGAAACACTTGTTCGCATCACTGGTACTAGTTTATGCTCAGTATTCCCTTTTTTCACTTGATACGTACCAGAGTAATTTGGAAAAGAATAGATGAATTTAATTTGTTGTTGATATATGATTGCTACTTCATATTGGATCTTATATCCTAAGATTTTTCTGGATACTTTAAGATCTGATTGGTGCAGTTTAGGTGTTGTATTGTGTGAGTTTTTGTTTAGTGTTGATGATAATGAGAAGTGTCTAGAGTGATGTGCAATACCATACTAAGCAAAATTTAATCTGTGAAAAATTGGAGTACATATTTGTGTCTGTGCATTCATTCATATGCTCTTTCATCTGTAGTGTGCCTTTAGAGAAAGGTTACTATACCCATAGGAGCAACCTGTAACTAGGTTTGGAAACATACCAAATATTTAACGAATAGTTCGGTGTTTATTTGCTTAAATATTCAGTCATATTCGAGTCGATAGTTCATTTAACAATAAACGAATTGTCTTTAGTATTCATTTCATAAACAAATAGAATTTAACCATAAACAAATAGAATTGAACCATAGACATATTTGTTTCATTTGTTTAATAAACTGTTCGTTTATATATCACACTCTAGACCTACAAGTTTTAGTTATTACATTTTCTATGTGCCCCAAAAGTTTTTTACACATAGCCTCATAGAAATTGATTTTCATTTTTCATTAGTTGCGTCATGTTTGGCTGCATTATAAGACTAAGATGGGATAATGAATATTTACTAAATATCTACCGAATATGAACCAAATAATTCACTAAAGACTACATAAAAACTGTTAAAGAATATTCACGAATAGTTGTCAAATATTTGAATAATAATCGAATTGAATTTGAACGCACATTAGAATATTCATATCCAATATGAGCTGAATATGAATATTGTGGTATTTGATTCAAATTCGGTTCATTTCCACCCCTACCTGTAACCTACTATGCATTCACCAACACTGAAATACGTGTGCTCCAACGTTTATTAACACATTTCATTTTGTTATATAGCAAAATGAGTTGTGGAATCAACAACATGCGCCAAAAATAGTGTAGCAGAAATGAGAATGTTACGATGGTCTTGTGGGTATGCACTAAAATACATGAGAACAAATGAGTATCCGTAGTAAATTAGAGGTTGTGCTCTTATTGAAGATGATAAAATGAGAGAGAAGCGACTAAAGTGGTTTGGTCATATACATCGAAAACCTCTTAGTGCACCGGTTAGAAAAAGTAGTAATATTATAGTTAATGGGACAAAGAGATCTAGAGGTAAAGAAACTTGGGAGCAATTAAGAAGGATGTGATAATGGTAAACGGAGGACATGGCCCGTAATAGAGCGGAATGTAATAATAGGATTCATATAGCCGACCCTAAACATTTGGAATAAAAGTTTTGTTGTTGTTGTTGTTGTTGAAAATGAGTTGTGGACTGTGGCAAGTGTAGCGATACTATGTTTCATCCATGTGTATCATATGGGAATTCACATGTTGCTTTGTCAACACACATATTCAGTAGAAGTAATATATGGTATGAAATTGGTACTTATGCTTCATGTCTGTTTATTTATTTTTTTCACATTTTAGATCTCCTATGGATATTGGACAATGGGTATACTAACAAGTTATAAAACTAATTCATATCTAAAAGGTAAAAATTGAAGCAAAAACAAAATTGACTGCCAAGTAAGAATGATATCATAGTGTCTTTCGACTTTTTCCGGAAAATGCTGGAAAGGGAACAAATGTGTTCAGGACGGGTTAAAAATTTTGTTCGAAAACTCATTTTTCTAAATCAAGGTTTAGAAGAATAATGTTTTGACTTCATCACATTGTTATGTCCTTTTCAACATTCTTTAAAGAAATTGAAGTTTTAAATGCACCTTTGCATACTATGGTGTTGACTTTCAGTCTCAGATAACATCTATTTTTTGGAGATGATTGTATCTTGGTCCATATCGCTGTATAATTGTGAACTTAAATGCAGGCATGGTGAAAAGCGCTTCCTTGGACTGATTTGTTGATTTCTTTTCAATATGTAGAAATTTGATCACTAACTTATTATATACTTCGAATTGATGAAAGAAATTGAAGGAATTTCTTTGTGATGTTTTGCCTTAGTCTATGTTTTTGTAGCTGTTGATTTGTTGACAACTTGGCATGATGTAATCTCCTACACATGCTTCAATAGGAAGAACAATATTCTATTTTTCAAGAGGTTTCTGTTGCATATATGTCCCTTTTTTGGTAGTCTAGTTGGACATAGTTAACATCTTTTGCACACAACAAACCATGTTAATATTGTATAATTTGATGACGTCTAACATTTCAGACTAAGATTAAGGTTTTGTAGCCTCATTCCAAAGTCGTGTAATGATTAATGTGCAAGGCATGTATTCTTTTGTGGTAATAAATCCGCTTATTCATGACCTTCTTGAATAGTTTATAGTCCTTTTCTTTGCAGCAGACCTTTCTGTTTTAGTTACTGCAAGAACACTTTGTGGCTAACTTGACCAAATTTTCTCTTATACAGGTGGGATGAAAGTCAAGGCTGACAGGGATGAATCATCTCCTTATGCTGCCATGCTTGCAGCTCAGGACGTTGCACAGCGATGCAAGGTGTGTCCCTATCTATTATCCTTGCTGGTTCTTTGGTGTGGCACTTTACTGTCATCATAGTTATCAACTTATCATAGCTAAATGGCTCGACGTTTTGATCTGAAACCTCGTGTCTTTATAGGAACTTGGGATCACTGCTCTGCATATTAAGCTCCGGGCTACTGGTGGCAATAAGACCAAGACACCTGGACCTGGTGCCCAATCTGCACTCAGGGCACTTGCTCGTTCTGGGATGAAAATTGGTCGCATTGGTAAATTCTCTTGTTTGATACATTTAAGCCAGCTATATCTAATCTTTCATTTGTGGGTGTGTTTGGTTATTTGTAATTGGAAAAGTGATGCATCTCCAAATGCATGTCTTTTCAACTGCAGTGGTTGGAGATACAATCCAAGGTTTAGATAGGATGCTTTTCCAACTGTCATGAAATTGCTAAAAATAAATTGATTCTTGTTCATATATTTGTTGCATAATATGTACAAAAAAAAATCAAATTATGATCTTTATGACAGTGCTTGTTAGGCACATACTTCAATGTTTAGTTGTAGCTATACTCATTTCGACTGCAGCTGCAATTATGTGTTTGTAGCCTAAAATGTAGCTACATAGGGTGGTGGAATAAGCAGTGGCCAGACTATGTTTTTTGATCATATTGTAGTTGCCAAAACACTAGCCAAGTGCCACCAAAAAAGCCTTCATTTCTATAGGTAAAGTATCACCTTGGATGCATGCCATGATTGGTTACTGGGTTTTCGTCATAGCGTAGAGGATACATGTTATATGGGTAACACATTAACTGAAGGATTGAAAACTGCACACAAGAAGATGCTGGTTAAAACAAAAGCATTCTGCTATTTTAATGGAATCATGCTCATAAATCTTACTTTCTACACGGGTGTACTGTGAGATTGGATGCTTAGTGTGATTCTTTGCTATGGTTTTGTCGAAGTGTTAAGAGGATAACGTTTTTGTCTTACACATGAAGCTGTAGTGTGAACTATGCTAGCAATTACTGTATCGATGAAATTAAAGATTTTCTGCTGTATTATATGTTAACATTCTAATTCTAATGTTATGTTTCTGTTGTTGCAACAGAGGATGTGACGCCAATTCCCACTGACAGCACCAGGAGAAAGGGTGGGAGAAGAGGAAGGAGGCTGTAGTTTCCTCCATCCGTTTTCCAAGGAGTCCCATTTATTTCTCAGCGGTGCTTGTGTCCTAGTTATTTTGAACAGTTTTGTAGTATTTTGATATTTGGTTAGTTTATGGGAATTTATGTGTGGCCCATTATATGGGCTAAAGATTATCATCTGCTGTTTCCTTGATAACGTTTGAAACCTATGGTTTTTAGCGTGGTCTTTTCGACTTTATGCTTGGTTTCCCTACGCACATATGCATGATCATCAATTTCTCATTTTGGTGTTTTGAGAAATTGTTATCCCGTTATTTTGAGAATATGGTAGTTTTACGAACAATTATAGATCGGTATCGGGTTTTTTATTTACGTTTAGATCATGATCAAAATACTGGAGCCTTGTGATTTAAGAAGCTCATCATCAAGTTCGAAAGGTGAGGTCGAGGATCCGAGTCTACGTTTTCCCCTTTTTTTCATTTGTTTATATTTAAGGAATCAAAACGATTTTATTACGAAGCTTTAAGGATAGTATGATTATAGATGATCAGCCCAAGCATCAGAAAAGGCGGTACATCGATATCTATAAGCATATTGAGCAAACTTGTGAGCTCAAACTTTCTCTCAGCGTCAACATGGTTGTCATCTACTCCTCTATACAAACGAGAGAATCTAAGATTTACAATTCATGTGACAGTAAAAGCTATAGTAATATTTACTGTAGTATTATTGTTGTAGTAAATATGAAATGGACACTGTGTTTTTTTGAAAAAAAATATCACAGTAGCACACTAGAATACTGTAGCGAAGGTGGGATACTGTAGTATTTCAAAAAAAATTTAAAAATATTATAACAGTTAAACTAAAATTATTATAGCGGGGAAAAAAATATGCACACTGGTAGGAGAAGTTGATGTGGCTGGGCGATGACACCACAGAGCAAGCACCAAAATAAGGCAATTAGATTCAATAAATAATGTCCTTCCCATTAAATGAACAAGAAGTGCCAGGATACAGCCGGGGTAATTATGAACATTAAAATAAACACAAATGACGTTGTAATGGTCGCCACCATTAAATGAGGGGTTTTTGTCATTAGATATAAAGGTGTGCAGTAATTTATGTTTAAATCAATTATTTTTCTTTGTATCATTTGATCCAATCAACTTTATGTATTTATATTTAAATCCAAATTTTCAAATACACTTTGTATTTATGCGGTCCCCGCTAAAATTAAATAAAAAAAAATCTATTCTACCCCTCCCTTTTTCTCATTTAATTCTCTTTTACCTAATTTGTTCTATTGTTTTGACGGTTAGGATGTTTCAATATGGCTCTCATGGTCTTGGGTTTAATTCCGGGGTAGGTTATCACGAAAAAAAAACCCATTAAATGCTCATCAATTTTATCAATGTATAATGCTTAAATACTAATTTTTTGTGAGGATTCATCGCTTTGGTATTTTAATGTATAAATTCCTTCAATTTCTCAACTCTTAATTTTGTAGCGTAAATCCACATAAGCATTTGAGACAACTAGATGGAATGCATGTGCATTGCACGTGGTCAAATATCTTAATTGTGCATTTTATATTTGTTTATTTACTATAACATGTTTGTGAAAAACCTAAAGATTACCATAACATATTAATTTTTTTAGATATTTTCATGCGTAAAACCTTGTTGGTCTTAACATTTTGCCTTCAGAGGAACAATGAAGCTTAAAGACTTAACATATTAATAATTTAAGAGCAATTTCAATAATTTGAAGGACTAATTTCAAAATATTGATGATGTAAGAGACCAATACCAAAAGACTCTTATTATTAATGAAAAATAAATTCTTAAACATATCAAAAGAAAATAATAGGTTTTATGTAGTGCTAACAGATTTTATTAATTATAAAATAATCACTTCTGTTTACAGTCGATAATCGAGTGTTATAGTAATTCAAAAGTTTTTTTTAAGAATTCTCAGAGTCGAAGTATGCAAATTCATGAAAGGAAAAATAAATTATGTGATCGATTCCAAAATTTAATATTGTAATCCTTCCACATCATCCCAACTACAATTTGTCTAAAAAATCCCAATCGATTTTACGCTCTAGTGTTATAAAATTATAAAATATAATCTAAGGATGATTTATATATATGATGCACTCATATAGATTGTATTTTAACAGAAATGTCTAGATTTATCCAATGTCAAACAATATCCAGAGATTTAAATTAATGAGTTATAATAATCGTATACTAGCAACAATACCAATGTCTAAGCTATGTGCTTTGTAAACTTATGAGACAGTTAGTAAAGTAACATGAATAACATAATTAATTTCGTCAAATAATTAGTTCAATATTGTGATAAGCAATCAAAATCAAAAGGATCTCATACAATCCCAAGTAGAAAGTAAACTTCTCCTAGAGAATCTCTAATAGTAGACTATTAAAGTTAATGTAAAGAATAAATATAAGGACAAATATGTCAATTAAGTGGTATACTTGGTATAAAATCCACTCTTATAAATTTGATGTCACAGGTGCATTAAGTCGATCTTTGTTTAAGGGTTAAAATTTATAAAACTCCCCCTAAACTATCGTGTGTGTTTTTTTTGGGTGGGGGGTGCACAGTTATTTATAACACTCTTTTTCTCACTTAAGCCCTCTAAACTAACATCGATAGATCTAATCTATTATGTGGAAAATATCCCTCACCCATAAATAATTATATTGGTTTCTTCCGGGTGAAACAAAAAGAAGAGATATGAATCATGGTTAGGGGGAGGGGGGGAGAGAGAGACCATGAAGGGTATTTTTCTCTCATTTTTTGGCCCGCTAAATTCATAGAATCTTCGGTGGTGTTTGGTTGGACAATTTTATAGAAAAGTTTTCTCAAAATGTATGCCAATGGCAATTCTGTAATTAAAAATTTTCTGTAGATTTCCGTAAACTGTGTTTGGTTCAAAAAATTTTATAGAAATGTTTTCTGTAAAGTACAAAAAAGTATCAAAATTTACAAAAATCAAATTCCTTTCAAAATGTGCGGAAATCACCTAGAAAACTAACACCACATTGACACTTTTCTATAAAGTTGACACTGTTCTATAATTTTAGGTGGTGTTTGGTTTAAATTCTATAAATTGTAGAAAATCTTGCTATTTTCTATAAAGTTATGAGCCATTTTTTTTGTTTTGAACCAAACATGCAAAGTAAAAAAAACAAGTTTTTTTGTACTTTTTAACTTCTCTAAAGTTTTTTTTTAAATTTTTTTTTAAGAAATACAAGGAAATCATATTTTGGGTGGAAAATATTTCCTATAATTTATAGAAATTGAGCCAAACACCCCCTTCAACTCATTTAAAGTTTTTCTCCCTAGATTAAATAACTCTCCCTCTAAAGAATTTTTTTTCCTTAGAGTAATAAAGTAAATGAAGATTTACTTACTAAATTTATTATTAAAATACACTGATTACAATTAGGAGATCAAATATGATTTTCATCCACCTGTATAGTACAATAATCTTGTTAAAACATATTTGACGGAAAGTATGTTGGACATTATTTCATATCAGCGGTGTAAAAAGTGGCTGAATCACAAAAGCCCATTATATTTAGGGTTGAAACACAATAAGAATAATACATGGGGCTACGACAGATCATTTATTTTTGAGACCCGGACACAATTTGTCCAAATGTGAAATATATTTAAAATAATGAAAATATAAAATTGCAGAAACTTATTATGTTTGCATTATAAGGACACATTGAAAATATATTTTTCTGATTAATTCTAGGCTTCAAAAAAGTAACCCACAACAGGGGTGGTCCAGTAGGTCACATGACAAAATCATTACCCTCCCTCATGGGAGGCTTGGGTTTGATTCCCCAGCGTGCCAAAAGCCCAAAAAAAAAAGGAAAAAAGTAAAAGAAAAAGCAACCCACCACTAGAAGAAAGAATATAATTTATAAAAAAAATACTTATTTTAATTTGGAATGGAGATTTTAATTTTATTTAGTAATCCCAATATCATATTCATATTTTGATTTTTTGATTATTCAAGAGAAACAAATATTTTTTATTGTATAAAATTGGAAAAATAAAGAACACATTTTTTTTTCCTGTTGAAAAACCAACACGCATGTAAAAGTTAGAAAGGCAGGGGGAAGAGAGAGAGAGAGAGACAGAGAGGGCGTGCGCTGAGAAGACTTAGAGCAACTCCAATGGGGCTGCAAAACTCCATTTTGCAGCCCCATGGAGCTCCAACCGGACTCCAATTTTTGGAGTCCGGCTGGAAAAAATAATCTTCGGCTGCATATTTGGAGCTTTTGCTCCAAATATGCAGCCCCCCTCCAAACCACTATTCCCCATAAAAATTGGCAATAATACCCTTCTAACTAACTAATTATTTTTAGATATTCAACTTAAAATCAACATAAGTTTATTTCTACTAATTATTTTTAAATAAAAATTTTACAGTTGGAAATGTTTTGTCGATACCTTCAAAATGAGACTAATATTGAATAATATTAATTGAAATATAAAATTTCAAGAACCAAGTAATTAAAAAAATAAAAAAGTCATTATTTCATTAGTAAAAAAAGTTACATAGCTTCATTTCCATGTCTTTCCCACAAATGTTCAATCAATGCATTTCGAAGTGCAAAATGAGCTTCTTTGTTTTTCAACCTCTTATGTCGAGCAAGAAACCGTTGGAATCGTTCAGTTTCCGTTATCTCCATATTTTCAGCATTCGGAATTGATTGTGGAGTTGAAATGACAACATCTTCTTGCTCGTCGCGTTCATCTTCGACAATCATATTGTGCATTATAATACAAGCAGTCATGATATCATGCAGAGTTCGTTTATCCCAAAAACGGGCTGGCCCCTTGATGATAGCAAATCGTGATTGGAGAACACCGAATGCCCGCTCAACATCTTTTCGACATGCTTCTTGCATCATTGCAAAATATTGTTTCTTTTTATCATCGGAATTAGAAATGGTTTGAACAAGTGTTGGCCATTTCGGATATATGCCATCGGCCAAATAATAACCGACATCATAATTTTTTCCTTGAATTGTGTAATGAGCAGGAGGAGCAATACCTTGTGATAGATTGTCGAACAAATTAGACGACTGCAATACATTAATATCGTTATTGGATCCTGGTAAGCCAAAGTATGCATGCCATATCCATAGATCATATGATGCTACTGCCTCAAGAATAATGGTTGGACCTCCATGACGACCTGAGTATTGTCCTGCCCATGCTGTTGGACAATTTTTCCATTGCCAATGCATACAGTCTAGACTTCCTAACATTCCTGGAAAACCTCTTTCTTCGCCCTTTTGCAATAACCTTGCAACATCGTCGACATTGGGAGTCCTCAGATATTCATCTCCATATACTTCTACAGTTGCTCTGCAAAATCTCTTTAAACACACAATTGCAGTTGACTCACCGATCCTAACATATTCGTCAGTACTATCTGCTGATGTTCCATACGCCAACATGCGAAATGCCGATGTAACTTTTTGTAAAGTTGATAGCCCAAGTTTGCTGACACCATCCATCTTCTGTATGAAGAAGTTGTCATGATCACGTACCGCCTCAACTATACGAAGGAATAAACTCCTGTGCATCCGGAACCTTCTACGGAATAGGTTTGCACCATATGTAGGGTTATCAGAAAAATAGTCATGGTAAAGTCGAGAATTACCTTCTTCCCTCCCGCGATTGATCACCAAATGACCAGGAACTGAGCCAATACGCTTTGGCCGCTCTGCCTCTTGAGAGAGATAATAAGTCATTATTTTCGTGTTAGAGGCATGTACGCGAGCTAAGAGTTCATCTTCCTTCTCCCATTGTGTCATATCTTCCTCCCAATCTTTAATGTACTGAGACCATATTTCGTCGTCAGAAGAAGAAGAAGAAGAAGAAGAAGATGGTAGTTGTGACGGTCCGGCTCCGTAGTTCATTGATGAAGAAGTTATTTATAGAAATAATCATATAAGTTCTGAGTTATTTAGAGATGGATGTAATGTCATTATATAATATGACTCCCCGCATTGGATTCTTTTCAGCATTGGCTTCTCACCCCCACATTGGATTCCTTTTGTGTTGGAGACTCCCCACATCGGATTCTTTTCAGCATTGACTTCTCACCCCCCCACATTGGATTCCTTTCGTGTTGGAGACTCCCCGCATTGGATTCTTTTCAGCATTGGCTTCTCACCCCCACATTGGATTCCTTTCGTGTTGGTGACTCCCCACATCGGATTCTTTTTAGCATTGGCTTCTCACCCCCCACATTGGATTCCTTTCGTGTTGGAGACTCCCCACATTGGATTATTTTCAGCATTGGCTTCTCACCCCCACATTTGATTCCTTTTGTGTTGGAGACTCCCCACATTGGATTCTTTTCAGCATTGGTTTTTCACCCCCACATTGAATTCCTTTTGTGTTGGAGACTCCCCACATTGGATTCTCCTGGTGTTGGAGACTCCCCATATCTAATCCCTATATAATACTTGCACAATTTTCATATCTCCACCACAACTCTTCTTATTCTATATTCATAACTCTTTACATTCCTCCTTAGATTATGGCATCTAGTCGCGGAAAATCTTTTTTACAAGAAGAAGACCAAGTTTTATGCGCCACGTGGCTCGAAATTTCTCAAGATCCAGTCATGGGTTCTAATCAAAAGAAGGACAAGCTGTGGGAACGAATTTCTGCTTTATTTCATGAAAGGATTTCCAATATTTGTAATGCTCAAAGGACTCCAAAGTCTCTTTCATGCCGAATGCAATTAATTATGAAGGCCATCAGTAAATTTCGAGGATGTATTCGACAAGTCGAGCGCTTAAATCCAAGCGGTGCTTCTGAGCTTGACATTGTAAGTATTTTGAATAACATAAATCTTGATTATCATCTACTATCATGTTATTAATAAATGTTTCTTCCTCTCTTGTGGTAGATTAAACGTGCTAGGATAATATTTGCAGAAGATCCAGAAGAGAGAAAGGGGTTTCTATTTGATCATGTTTGGTCAATTTTAAAAGATGCAGAGAAATGGGCAAATATAAGTGTCAGATCGCCTGCAACTTCCAAAACTTCAAAGTCCCGCTCATCTCAGGGATCAGATTCAAGTTCTCCTGTCGTCGACTTAAATGACGATAATGAGGAATATACTCATAATGACGAAGATATGATAACAAGTCGACCGACAGGAAGGAAGAAAGAGAAGATGAGGAGGCGACAAGCAACTGAATCCAACCTCGACTTGGAAACTCTCAATAAAAGCAATCAAGAAATTGTCGATATTTTAAAAAAAAGTCATGGACAACGAGAAAATGATAGAATAGCAATGCACCAGATTATGATGTTAAGGGCCGAAAACGAAAAGAAAAAATTAGATATTCAAAGGGAACGCCAGGAAAGTAAGATTATGTTGATTAATCTTGATACTATTACTGATCCTTCGGAACGCGAGTATTTTCGAATTAAAAAACAAGAGATTTTAAATAGAAACACAACCGGAGGTTCTTCATCTGATATTCCTAATCCTGAATATAGTTATGCAGGAAGTCAATACGGAATACCTGACTACAGAAGCGGTGGATATGGAGGAAATGGCCTGCCCGATTTTTAGTTTTTTTCATGTACTTTATTTTCATGTACTTTCTTTTTCTATGTAATGCCGCTGAATGTAATATATAAAATTTCATCATTCGGAGTAGCTGTGAAGGTTGTTCCAAATATTATGCTATATTTTCTGCTTTTTAAAATTTAAAGGCTCTTATCTATGTCTTATTATCAATTTATTAAAGATAATTACTTTTATTTAAATAATGAGTATATTATATATTATACTTTTAGTATTAATTTATAATATATTTTATATTTTAAATTAATTCATATAATTTTTTAATATTTTATATTTTTTATATTTTCAAATCTATTTAAAGTATTAATAAAAGAAATTAATTAAAAATGCAAATAGAGCTTCATATAGAGAAGATGGTTGGAGTTACCCCCCTCTAAAAAAGCATATGCCTAAGAATATGCTTTGGGGAGGCTGCATTTTGCAGCCTCCCCATTGGAGTTGCTCTTAGCCTCACGAAAAATGTCATTTCATTTACTATATTGAATCGAAATTATATCTAGAAAATTAGATCCAAGTAGGATAAATGAGAGCTCTTGATATTGATTTAAATTTAAAAAGTAAATTACTATAAAACCGTCTAAACGAAAATTCAGAGAGATCCGGATCCGGATCTGCTCTCGCATAAATCGATCCGAACCCCTCCAGTCTACAACCCTACCCACCAACAAGTGGCAATTTCGTCATTCGCCACAAAACGGAAAAAAACCCTAGTAGCTGAAACCTATAAACTCTCAACCCCATCTCATATCTAGGGTTTCTGTAATCGCCGGCAAAGATGCAGATCTTCGTGAAAACCCTAACGGGGAAAACCATCACCCTCGAGGTCGAGAGCAGCGACACTATCGACAATGTCAAGGCCAAGATCCAGGACAAAGAAGGTCTCAATATTCTCATTCCTCAAAATTTCCCCCTCAAAATTTGCATTCTTTCGTTGTTAAAATGAAAAATCAAGACCCTAATTTGTGCAGGTATTCCTCCGGATCAGCAGAGGCTTATCTTCGCCGGAAAGCAGCTCGAGGATGGACGAACCCTGGCTGATTACAACATTCAGAAGGGTAAAGATTTGATTTTTAAGTTGTTGTTGATTTTTTTCTTAGTTTTTTGGGGTTTTGTGCATTAAAGTTCCTTGTATTGTGATGAAAAATTGATGTAGAGTCGACGCTTCATCTGGTGCTGAGGCTGAGGGGTGGGATTATTGAGCCCTCTCTTATGGCTCTAGCTAGGAAGTACAACCAAGATAAGATGATCTGCAGAAAGTAAGTTCTTTTAATCTCTGTTCAATTATTTGTGAAAATAGTTTTGATAAGTTTTATTATTTGGGACTTGTTTAACGAATGGAGATTTGTTCTATGTGTTTGCATGTGGATCTAGTTTTGGAAACTATATTGTCTTAGCTGAAAAGCGTGCCTAAGAAACTGTTGTAGATCCAAGATTAATTTTACTAGTTCAGCTTTATCATCTGCGTTTGATTAGTTACAGCTGCTTCAGTGTTATTAGTAAACCTAGGTTGGATGTGATGACGTATAATATCGGACAGTGCTTCGGGACTAGTTATCACATTCCAATATGGAAACAAAATAGACCCAGTAGATAGAAGATCAAAGGGTAATAGTTTTTACAACGAAATAGAAAAAGCTTTATATTTTCCAACTAGATGCCCTTTATTTTCCTTTCATCTGTACCTTGTAGCCAATAACTTCTACTGTTGCAGTGATCTTGCTACACTTCCTCTCAAGTAAGTGGGAGTATGTTAAGGTGTAGTCTAGTTAAAACTACTATTATACTAATATCTGTTCTGCAATATTAATCAAAACAACAAATTCAAAATTCAAAAAAAAAAAAAGATGAAATGAACACTTGACTTGCAAAGATTAGACAATATCCATAAGTAAGCTTTGTCATCATCATTGTTATCAATGGCGAGCGTTTCACTGCACCTCATGTGTAGCGGTGGCGAAGCGCCCCGCATTTGATGTGATGCCGCCTTTTTTGCTTCTCGCAATCAAAGAGCCCATGAAAGTTATAGCCTCACATCAATTTTTTTAGGGGGAGGTGGGAGGGGTGGGGTAGTTTTTAGCATTTTTGTTAGTTTAATATCAGCCTGACTCCTGAATCTCTTTTCAATTAAGAGCATATTTATCTTTATCTGACCAAATTAGCTTTGTGTGCTTTTCTGATTTGTAAAAGTTTATTTGGTTTGGGTTGTTGGTCACCTTACATTGAATCACATATCTGCCACTGTTTTCTCAAAAATGAATTTCTTCTGCTTGCAAATTTGTATTTCAGTACTCAAGCATGGTCCTTAAGATCGTCTTCCTATTTTGTGGAAGTGTTTTGAGTCATAACCATGCAACAGTAATACCAAGGTTTCAGAGAGTATTTCTTTGGTACCATCTCGTTTTCCACATTCACGAGGGTCTTAATTGTTTGGATTGGTTTTCCCTCATGTTAATTTTTAAGACTAATATCAGCTTGCTGATATTAGTTTGCGAAGAGCAGCGTGGGATTCTAGTTCCAACTTTGTATAATCACTCTTTACCTGGAAGCTGAGGACATGATTTTTTTTCATGCTAACTACTAAGTCCCTTGAATCTTTTGATCAAGATCTGATTCTTCAACATCTGTTTTTTGATGCAAAGGATTTCTGCAGGCAGGAGTGCTAAATTAATTAAAACTTTTGAGTATTGTCCGATGAATGCAACTTTGGACATATTTACACTTTTATCTACCATAATTTCATTAGTATGGAGACGGGTAGTGTTTACTTACTTCTGTACTGGGAAATCATTATTTCCCTCTGATTATATTTTAATATTGTTATCTTTGGCAGTGTTGTTTAGACTACTTTTCTTATATATTTCTTACTAAAATCTTTCTTTGTAATTCCTTTTTTTTGGTTTGTGATTTTGCAGGTGCTATGCAAGGCTTCACCCCAGGGCTGTCAACTGCAGAAAGAAGAAGTGTGGTCACAGCAATCAGGTGGATTCTTTGGTCATTAACTCAATATTCTCTGTTCACTTTATATTGATTTTATCTATGTTAATTACGATTAAATTATTGTAGCTAACTTGTGTGTTTTCTTTATTTTTTTTGCAGCTGAGGCCCAAGAAGAAGATCAAGTAGGCTGCTTATTTCATTTACCTTTTCAGTATTCGTGCTGTAGTGTCCTGCTTTTTGTAGTTGTGATGTGATCTCTCTATCTGATGTTCTTCTTTGTAAGTTTTTCGAGATAACAGTGGAACTGCTTTATTAGTGATTATGAGCAAAAAAACTTTCAACTTATTTCTAAATTTATTGTCACTGGTGATCTTTTCTAGTCCAAATTACTTTATGGTTACTATCTTGATACTCTTCGGTTCAGTTGCTTGTTTTGCCCGTGTGGGTTTTCATCAGCTTTACTTCTCATTTGGAAAGGCATTTTATAGAGATGAAAGTTACATGTCCTTTGTGTTGTAAAGATACTTTCCAATATCATGAGAAGACCTGAGATCATGTGACCGCGTGGTGCTTCAGATCCTGCAACTTCAAGGTTCAACAAACCAGCCTCTGTTATCAAGCACGTATGGAAATGGAACCAAGACTCATATGCTGAGCATTAACGGTACTAATTGTATTACACTATTGATATTAGTTTGATGATAAGTTGGGACCTTTTAGCTCATGACCAATTTTCAAGAAAAATTACGGAGATACCACGTCTCGTATGAGCAACTCCTTGTGTATTAATCCGTCTTGATTCTCTTGGTTCGTTTCACCTGTAATGTGATCTCAAGATTTGCATTGTTGTCTCAGTCCTGAATTATGCGAGGAGATGCATCGTCAAATTGCGATCACACCCTCTTTTTAGGTGATTTTCGGCAAAAGAAATAATATCACCAAACTGTGGATCACCTTGTTTTACTGATAACAGATAAAATTTTATAAAGTTCACGACGAAACCCTCAATTCCATAATCTGAGCCATTCAGATTTAAAAATGATCAATGTGATGCGCAAAATCTAGACATGCATCCTTAAGGGATACCGTGCTCTACTAATCTGATGCTACACTGAAGTATAAGCAGATATCATAAACCATTTGCTGAACTTTTAACAAACCAATTTTTCAGAAATTTCAAACAGAAAAACTAACCAATCAGGACATTTTATTTCTTCCAGGAAAAATAAAAACATGCAAGTTCACTTACAACCGCATCACCGAGCTTATTGATATTCCTTTTTGAGGAAAAAAAAAAAAAAAACTTATTAATACTCTACCGGTGATAACTCAACGAGACAAAAACCCAGCCTTAATCTTTTGCACCGTAGCCGCATCAGTTTTCAACGATTTAGCTATTACCTCATCATCGATCCCTGACCCAAACACAGTTTTAGGAATCGACACAGTCCCTGCACTTGCACTCCCAAAAGCAGACATAGCAATAGCTGGTTCTTTCCCTTTACAATTCTGAAAATGCACCAATCCTTTCGGAAACACAAACATATCACCAGGCTCCAATGTTTGCGTATACAAATTATTCGCAGTGTCCACAAAACCCACATCCAACATTCCATTAATCAAAAACAGTAGCTCAGCAGACCTCGGGTGAGTATGGGGAGGGTTTACAGTTTCTGAAGGGAAAATCAGGACAGCAAAGGAAACACTTTGACCCAAAAGTGCAGGGAATTCAGAGGCAGAGGCTTTATATGCAGTGAAGGAATCGGGTACAGGGCCATTATCATCAAAAAGAATGCGCATGCCACTGAAAGTGAAGAAGCTTCCATTGATCATTGGGAGCGTCAGGTTTTGTGGGATAATGAAGTCGGTGAGAATATCAGGGTCGCTTGCATTGGCGATGAGAGGGGACACAATAAGCAAGAAGGCAAAGAGGAGGATGGTTTTAAGAGTCGTCATTGTGGAACTAAAGTTGATGTGTTGCTGAAGAGAAAAGCATGGATTTATATTAGGTGGTTGTGGTTTGTAGACAAATTTGGCCTGCTGATGTTTGGAGTTTGCAAGGCAACATTGTGTGAAATTTCATTTAATATTGCTTTCATAGGAAGCATAGGCATCATATTGTAATTGAAAAGGAATTGAAGAGATGCGGAAATAAAAGCTGCCTTGCTATTTTTTGAGTGAAAACTCAAATGATTTTGTCTTAAGGGACCAAGGGGGAGATATTTCCCATAAGTTCCAATCATATAGGAGTTTACCTGCAGTTTCACTTGCATTAAAACTTCATTCAGAATTTGGCATGTCAGCTTGTTGTCTCATGAACTACCCAGTGAAATCTGACATTAAAGCTAACAATGATTTTACCACAGTTTCCTTTTATGCAGCTATTTTCTCAAAAAAATTTGATGCGGAATGGAGGCGATTGGCATTGATCGTAGACTTGGACCTAAAAAGTTATTAAAAAAAGATACAAATAAATTGGGGGTTAGTCGGGTTTCATACACAACACGTAATTGGATTTGGCTTCACACCTAGCACATTACGTGCCTACTAGAAACAATGGCTTCACACCTAGCCCTTTACATGCCAACTAGAAACAACAGCTTCACACCCAGAAGTATTCACTCTCATCTCTATAATTAAAATTTTTATTCATATCAAATTTTCATACACAACACGTAATTGGATTTGGCTTCACACCTAGCACATTACGTGCCTACTAGAAACAATGGCTTCACACCTAGCCCTTTACATGCCAACTAGAAACAACAGCTTCACACCCAGAAGTATTCACTCTCATCTCTATAATTAAAATTTTTATTCATATCAAATCAAATATCCTATCAAATTTTCTAATCCTAACTTCGATAATTGAGATATGTTTAGTTTTGCATCAAAGTTTCCTAGTTTTAACATGCACCAACTTCCATATGAAGACTCTTCTATAGCCAACGATACGTCAAAGGAATAACAGAAGAACGACAAATGTTTTCATAAAGTTGAGAAACTTTGGTAGAACGTACTGCAATCAAACCAACTTATGAAATATACATAGTATCATAAAGGTTAATTTTGCATGTACATATCTTGTCAATAAGCATCAAATTCTGACAATAAATTCTTTTTCATCTTAAATCGATGCATGTTTATCTACTGGTTGGTTTCTTAAATCAACAAGGAACAATGGAATATGCTTCTGTTCTACAATGGTTTCACATGTTTTGAAATGGTCAAAGAATGAAATAGAGCTTTCAATTAAATAGACAAATCCAATCTAATAATATGTATATGTAAGGAAGTGCTGCCAATTCTCTCTTCTTGAACCTTTGCAATGCAATGCAATAATTTCTCACTTTTATTTCAGATACCACCTTATTTTATACCAAAAACACATAGATCACCTGGAGTCAATATAGGTTAAGGAAATTAATTAATTAGATCAGTCAGCAATGATATATATTTGACATATATCTCTATGATATTAGACACACCTTACATGTTCCCAATAAGTGAACTTTTATTACAAAAGATTAAAACTGCATCAGGATAGGATACACAGGTGCACACAACAATAATAACAATAAAAAGAAAAAAATAAACAAAAGGCGACAAGAAGAGCTAGATTTAGAAAAATACAGATAATTGCTACTAACAAACGGAAAAGTCATAGTCCCAAATTAAATTATGAATCATTTTCTGGAGTAGAAAACAATCTGAAAGTTTTAGTGACTGTTAAATTCCTTGGCTGCAAGCATATGAGTGTAGGAATGTCGGAAATTGGCATGTCCTAACTTTTGTTGCAACAATTAGTTATAGTGAATTTGATACTAACTGTAATCATCACTAAATAAATACAAATTAAAGAGCACATATATTTTCTGATAGTTAATTGTTACAAATTTCAAGAAGTATGCCTTTTAGTAAATTTTCGCTTTGTTTAGTACCATCAACTTCAAGTCACACAATCCTTTTATGCAGCTATTTTCTCAAAAAAATTTGATGCGGAATGGAGGCGATTGGCATTGATCGTAGACTTGGACCTAAAAAGTTATTAAAAAAAGATACAAATAAATTGGGGGTTAGTCGGGTTTCATACACAACACGTAATTGGATTTGGCTTCACACCTAGCACATTACGTGCCTACTAGAAACAATGGCTTCACACCTACAGACAAATATCCTATCAAATTTTCTAATCCTAACTTCGATAATTGAGATATGTTTAGTTTTGCATCAAAGTTTCCTAGTTTTAACATGCACCAACTTCCATATGAAGACTCTTCTATAGCCAACGATACGTCAAAGGAATAACAGAAGAACGACAAATGTTTTCATAAAGTTGACAGACAAATATCCTATCAAATTTTCTAATCCTAACTTCGATAATTGAGATATGTTTAGTTTTGCATCAAAGTTTCCTAGTTTTAACATGCACCAACTTCCATATGAAGACTCTTCTATAGCCAACGATACGTCAAAGGAATAACAGAAGAACGACAAATGTTTTCATAAAGTTGAGAAACTTTGGTAGAACGTACTGCAATCAAACCAACTTATGAAATATACATAGTATCATAAAGGTTAATTTTGCATGTACATATCTTGTCAATAAGCATCAAATTCTGACAATAAATTCTTTTTCATCTTAAATCGATGCATGTTTATCTACTGGTTGGTTTCTTAAATCAACAAGGAACAATGGAATATGCTTCTGTTCTACAATGGTTTCACATGTTTTGAAATGGTCAAAGAATGAAATAGAGCTTTCAATTAAATAGACAAATCCAATCTAATAATATGTATATGTAAGGAAGTGCTGCCAATTCTCTCTTCTTGAACCTTTGCAATGCAATGCAATAATTTCTCACTTTTATTTCAGATACCACCTTATTTTATACCAAAAACACATAGATCACCTGGAGTCAATATAGGTTAAGGAAATTAATTAATTAGATCAGTCAGCAATGATATATATTTGACATATATCTCTATGATATTAGACACACCTTACATGTTCCCAATAAGTGAACTTTTATTACAAAAGATTAAAACTGCATCAGGATAGGATACACAGGTGCACACAACAATAATAACAATAAAAAGAAAAAAATAAACAAAAGGCGACAAGAAGAGCTAGATTTAGAAAAATACAGATAATTGCTACTAACAAACGGAAAAGTCATAGTCCCAAATTAAATTATGAATCATTTTCTGGAGTAGAAAACAATCTGAAAGTTTTAGTGACTGTTAAATTCCTTGGCTGCAAGCATATGAGTGTAGGAATGTCGGAAATTGGCATGTCCTAACTTTTGTTGCAACAATTAGTTATAGTGAATTTGATACTAACTGTAATCATCACTAAATAAATACAAATTAAAGAGCACATATATTTTCTGATAGTTAATTGTTACAAATTTCAAGAAGTATGCCTTTTAGTAAATTTTCGCTTTGTTTAGTACCATCAACTTCAAGTCACACAACACATTTTTATCAATTTTGCTCCTAAATTCTATTTCATCATTTGAATGACATCCATTTTCTGTTTATTTTACCATCTAAGGTATTGAACCATACATCATCTGATGTTTGACTATCTGTTATACTTTTTCAGATAAAGCATAAAATTTATCTCCTTGGTTTTGATAACGTGCTATAGGTTTTATTAATTTTATAGTTTTTCAGATAAAGCATAAAATTTACCTCCTTGGTTTTGATAATGTGCTATAGGTTTTACTAATTTGTCAGGTTTCATAAATTCTTAACAGGTGAAGTTAGGTCTCCCCCGTGTGTCAGAAGTCCACAATAAAGTAAATATTCTCTGGAAACATGACAAAATAGGAATATGCACTTTAACTACTATTTTCAGCTGTGTAATGAAGGCTTCAACAAAAATTTATTTTGACCACTAGGAATCAATGACTCTTTGCAAACCTGCATGAATATATGCAGGAATTGCCATGTTTTAACATTATGAAGTATACTTAAGTTTCACTTGAATTTATATTGTACAATCTTGTTTTATATAGATACTCTCTTTTTTTCTCTGTGTTTCCCTCTGACAGACTAATCTAATGCAAATAGATTCTTTGTCCTGTTCCTTACATTTCTTACTGTTTCTTACATGATGTAAAATCATCACATTACTCTTTTTGAAATTATTCTTTCCCCCCTCAAAAAACCTTTCAAAGGAGATAAAAAGTCCAAAAATATCTTGGAAAATGAAACATATAGAAGCTTATAATCTAGATAACCAAGAGTCTGTACACTAAATGAAGACGATTCTACTTCTGTCCTCAAAGTGGTCATCACTTAATTTCTCCATCGTATGAAACCTTTTGTTATTACAGATGCCATCTTTGACATTGAAGGTTAAAAATAATCAGTGTGATGGATCGATCGATAAAATTATTTCAACAACTCACTTGATGGTGTTAAGAAATGGTCGTTTACTTCTGGGGTCAGATTTCTGACATTAACATCGAAGTTGGTTGTAGGGATGTCACTGATGAGTGGGAAACAACTAGCAAACTCTTAAGGAACATTAATGCTATATAGACAGTCCTTTCCATTCATATGGATGTATGGGAAACCTCACAAACTAGAAAGTATGAGAAACTTAATGGAAACAAACTTACGTATTGAAATATCTTTGGAGAAGTTCTTGATTAGAGAAGTTCTTGATATAGCAAACCTATATCAAGAGAAGTTCTTGATATAGCAAACCTATAGCAAACCTACATAGGGACAACATATCATGAATGTTATGAATAACGAGTAAGTATGTATGATGTACATCGTAGATAAATAAGTAATGTTATTTGAGTGCATGCATGTGAGGGGTGTGAAGATCATATTTACATCAACCAAGTATGTGTTACAACTTACATAAGTTCTTTCTAGAAAAATTACACAAACACACAAATTTTTGCATGTGTGCCACACATTCATCCATTTGTCCATACATAAACATGTAAATGCTCATGAGCCTGCCATTCATCCATCTATACCTATATACATAAGCACATAGGGTACATATATGCATTCATAAACATTCATAAACATGCACGTCACATTTAACATGCTACAGAGAATAATGTTCATCACATTATCGGAAATTTCTTTCATCTAAATGATCAGGGCGTTTTATTTCTCCCAGGAAAAAGAAAAACATGAAAAAGGCCACTTACGGGCTTAGAAACACAACCACACATTACCTAACTTATTAATATTCTATCAATTAAACAATATCAAAACCCAGCCTTAATCTTCTGCACTATAGACACATCAGTTTTCAACGACTTCGCTATCACCTCATCATCAATCCCTGAACCAAACGCTGATTTAGGAATCGACACGGTCCCTGCATTGGCACTCCCGAAACCCGACACAGCAATTGCTGGTTCTTTCCCTCTACAAGTCTGAAAATGGACCAATCCTTTAGGAAACACAAACATATCTCCAGGCTGCAAAGTTTGAGTATATAAATTATTCTGTGTGTCCACAAAACCTACATCCAACATTCCATTGATCAAGAGCAGTAACTCAGCAGATCTCGGGTGAATATGTGGAGGGTTTACAGTTTCCAAAGGGAAGAAAAGGACAGCAAAGGAAACACTTTGGCTGAGAAGTGCAGGGAATTCAGAGGCAGAGGCTTTATATACAGTGAAGGAATCAGGTTCTGGGGTATTATCATCAAATAAAATGCGCAGGCCACTGAAAGTGAAGAGGTTTCCACTTTCCAGCGATCATAGGGAGGGTTAGGTTTTGAGGGATGATGAAGTCTGTGATAATATCGGGGTCGCTTGCATTAGCGATGAGAGGGGATGCAACAGAGAAGAAAGTAAGGAGGAGGATAGTTTTAAGAGTTGACATTGTGTATCTCTGTGAGGGTTAAGAAAATAAATGTCAATGTGTTGCTGAAGAGAAAGATGTGGGATTTATATTAGGTGGTTGTAGTTTGTAGACAAGTGTGGCCTGCTGGGTTTTGGAGTTTACAAGGTAGCAGTGTATGTAATTTCATTCTGCATAGGGATCACACTTCAATTGAAAAGGACTTAAAAGAGATGCAGAGTTCAGCCTTATGTCTTTCTTGAGAGGGGAAGAACTCAAAAGAAATTGTCTTAAGAGACTAAGTGGAAGATATTTCTTATAAGTTATAAGCATATAGGAGTCAGCTGCAGCTTCACTTGCATTGAAACTTCATTCAGAATTTGACATGTCAGCTTGTTGTCTCGTGGACTACCCAATGAAAAATGCATTTGATGTTTCACAAGAATTGTAATCGTGAAGGTTGGCATATTGAATTTTTGTGATCATCTTAGTTATTTTCTCATGGCAATTCCCTTCTTTTACCATGCTAACTTCCTATATGGAGACTCTTCTGCCAAGAATTTGTCAAAGGACAATAACCATATGTGGACACTTTTCCATAAAGTTCAGAAATCGTTCGAACATAAGCAAACCACGTACTGAAATACAAATTGTGCTGTAAAGATGAATTTTGCCAGTTAATTTATTGTCATTGAGCATCAAATTTCTATGATAATTTCTTGTTAATTTCAAATACATGCACCTTCATTAACTGTCTGCATTCATAAGCCATCAAGGAACAATGGAATATGCTTCTGTTCTACAATGGTTTCATACAGTTCGAAATGGACAAAGAGATACAAAAATAGAGTTTTGCATTAAATGGCATTTACAATCTATAGTATGTACATGTACATATGGTGAAAGATAGGGAAAATATCACCAATTCCCTTTTATCGAACCTCACAGCCCCATGCAATCATTTCTCACTTTTGCACTTATTCCCCATTATTTTGTTCAGAAACAGAATAATTACCTGATGTCAATATGGGTTAAGAAGATTTCTTAGTTAGATCAGTCATGATTGGTATATATTTGACACTTACCTGTGCGATGTTAAGCATCTCTCAGATGTTTTCCAAAGTTCAGGATAAGAGACACACACAAAAGTACACAACAGTAATAACAACAAAGAGAACGAACTAAAGGCAACAAAAAGAGGTTGATAGAGAAAACAAACAGTATGATATTGACCAAGAAATGGAAAAGGGATAGCTGAAGAGTTACTGTAAATCAATTTTTGGAAACTATGACCATATGCAAACAAATACAAGCTAAAGGACAAGGTTATTTTCTGCATGTTATTGGAATCATTATCAAAGAGTATATATTTTATTAATTTATTTCTTTGTTCTGTACCATCAATTTTAAGTCACTAACACATTCAACTTCAAGTCACCAACACATTTTCACAATTGGTTTAGCACCTAAATTCTCATTAATCATTTAAATACCATCATTTTCATTTGCATCTGATCATGTTGACCATCTCAGGTACTGAAAAACTCATTTATCGATGTTTGATTATCTTTTGTATTGTTTCACATAAAGCACAAAATTAACCTCCTTGCTTTTGTCAATGTAATGTGGGTTTTATTAATTTTTATGGTAAAAAAGATAAACTCAGGTCTCCTCATGCGTTCAAACTCCCATTAAATTACATGTTCTCTGGAAACATTGTAAAATATGAATTTTTTAACTACTATTTTTAGCTAAATAATGTTGGATTCTACAATATTTAGAGTATAGTTCAATATCGTTTGAATTTATCTTGTATGATCTTGTTTTATGTATGTATTATCTTATTGTCTGTCTGTGCTTTCCTCTAGCTTCTCTGTCCAGTTCCTTACGTTTTGTACTGTTTCTTACAAATTATAAAATAATTATATTACTCATTTTAAAATTATTCTTGTTTTCTAGTTAACCTTACAAAGGGGATGAACAGACAAAATCCTTTTTGCAAATGAAACAACTAAGAGCTTATAATCTAGAGAACCAAGAGTATGGTTAAACTCAATTGAGACAAGTTGATCTGCATAAAATACTTCTGCATATGAAACCTTTTATTCTTGTCACGGATATGAAACCTTTTATTCTTGTCACGGATCATGCCATCTTTAATATTGAAGATTAACGATAATGCATCCAACAAAGTTTAAGGCTGGACCAATAAAACTAAACACAAATACAGAAATACTAAGCAAGAAACATAACATATGCCTACAATCTAGCAAAACCAATTGATAAATAATTCCAAATGAAATAAGGGGATTTCCTAGATCAGTCATTGACGATATGTATTTGACATCTATATGCATGCTACTAGCTAGACATTCCTTACATGTTTTCAATGTGTGAAGCTTTTCTAGAAATGTGAAACCCATTGTGCCTCAGGATAAAGACAAATGCGCAAGCACACAATTGTAATAAAAACACAAGAAAAAATTAAATAGAAGGCAACAAGATACAGATGATATGTTATGAGTTAAACGATGGAAAAGGGATGATCCACAAGTTATTGTAGATAATTTCTGGAGTAAAATCCAAGCTAAGCTGTTATAATGACTGCTAGATTCTCTATCTGCAAGCATATTATTATTACCTTCTGTTTGAGTAGGAACATTGCTATTCCATCTCAGTCGGAAAATGGCCTGTCAAATTCTTGTTTCAGCACCTTATAAGATTATGATGCAAACTATAACCATAAGCATGAATGCAAGTTAAAGATCATGAAGATATTATCTGACAGTTATTGGTATCATTATCAAGAAAGAAGCATATAGAGAGCCCTCTGTAGAAATTCATATAGGGAGGAAAGAGAAATATGTTAACATCAGTTCTGAAGTTGGTGATTGCACTGACTCTTGTAATGTTTGTATCGAGTTTGTAGACTGTTTGCACTGATTTAAAGTTGGTAGTAGGGCACGTGTGGCATTCTGTTTTCTCCTCTATGATTTTTTATAGAACACCTTTTATAGGATTTCTTTCACATCATTATCGATGACTAATATTCTATTGGTTGTTTCTCTTTGTTTAATGCCATCAATTTTAATTCACTACCACATTAGCATCAACTGGTTTTGCTCCTAAATTCTCTTTCACCATCAATACCACCCTGTTTATTTTGTATTTATAATTTTAACATCTCATATACTGAACCATACATCACCTCATTTTCCGATCACTTCTGTTCTGTATAATTTCATTTAAAGAACAAAAAATATCCCTTGCTTTTATCAATGTACTATCAGTTCTCTTAAGTCGTCTGTTTTCCCTGCTTAGGTTATGAAAACAGATAAATTTAGGTTCCCCATGCGTAAGAATTCCCCATAAATATGGACTTCGGAAACATGATAAAGTACCATATTTAAGTACTATTTTAAACAGTGGAATGTTGGTTTGAACTGAGTGTTATCACTTTGACTATTAGGAGTGAATGACTCTTCGTAGACCATTCTGTGCTGCAGAATATAAAAAAATTCATATTCTAACAATTTTCTAGTCAACTATAACTTGAGCTTATCTTCTGCTATCTTGTTTTACGCATATATCTCTTTTGTCTGTCTCCATGTGTTTTTTCTCTAACAGGCTAATATAATCTAAAGATCGCTACTTTGCCTTGTTCCTTATATTTTCTACTATTGCTTACACGACCAATTAAACTAAACACAAAGATTAAGGCGGAAACATAACATACTCTCCCATCAACACGCTAGAGGGAGAGTTTTATTAGCAAAAATCACAGGTTCAGGACTCGGAAGAAAGACCAGCCTCAATCTTCTGAACTATGGCAACATCAGTTTTGAATGATTTAGCTAGGACGGCACTGTTGATACCACTAGTCAAGACAGATTTTGGTGCTGATACAGTCACGGCATTTGCTCTACCAAAGGCAGAAATGGCGACAGCCAATTCATTACTATTGCAGAACTGAAAGTGAATGAGTCTTTTAGGAATATAAACATGTCTCCTGATTTTAATATCTGAGAACAGAGCTTATTAGTAGAGTCAACAAATCCAACAGTGAGAGAACCTTGAATTCAGAAGAGGAATTCAGCAGAGCGAGGATGAGTATGAGGAGGGTTTACAGTGTAAGGAGGAAATTTCTATAATGCCAGTAACACACTCTGACCATTGAGAGCTGGGAATTCATGCAAGGATGCTTTACAAACAGTAAAAGTTTGTGGAGGCAGTGAATTGAGCACTTGACTCATCCCTGTAAAGATGAAGTAACTACCATTGACGGAGATGAGATTTTGTAGGAAGATGAAATCAGAGGTGATATCAGGATCACCGACATTGGCTAATGGAGATGTGATTAAGAGTAAATAACAAAGCACTGACAAGAGTCAAGGCCATATTTAATCACCTGCTATGTATTTGTATATCTGGGTGTTACTAACAATGTATTTATATAGGCTCTGATGGGTTCTAGTCGTAGTATGTACCTTGTTGTATGAAGGAAGTCACTAGGGCCTAAAGGAAGATAACGTGTTTTTCTTCTTTGCCTTCATCCATGGACGTAATAGAAAAGATACAAGTACTAACATAAATTACAATGGCAGGGGAAAAACGAATATGGAAATAAATCAATTTAGCATACTATTATGGAACAATTTATAGTCTATTAGTTGATGAAAACCTATGAAATCATCTTAATCATACCTTACAAACAGATAGACTATATAACAAAGTCAAGACACTAAAAATGATTACCTGTCCTACTACATTTATTCAACATTCAAGATCCAACTATAATATTTGTATAAAGGAACCCTGATAAATTTATGAGGTTTCCATAGGTTTCAGGGAAAAATTTCCTTTTGCCTAATCACTCAGTTAAGAATTTAGCACCAATTCTGCAATAGGGAGAAGAAATGGATGACAAAAGTTGGGAACATTCTGAAAATTTGATAGATCACATTTCGATCACACCCTCTGATAAGATATAAAATGTTTGGTATGGCAGGGATAGGTGAATTCTGCTTACTAGATATCAAAACTTAGACCATATTTCACCCAGTATCACTGGGTTAAAGCTATTGAATCTTTTGCAATACGCTGCCAACAAATTCATAAGACATATCATTGTTTCCCAGTGAATTTTTATATGCTTATCTGTTATATGTTATTTTGTACAATAGGTTCAAGATGTCAAAAACATTTTCTTGGGCTAGTTCTCGGTCGCTAGCTCTTATCTGAGTCCCATGCTACCTTCTGTTTAGAAAAAGGCATATAGTCTAATATGTTTTGTTTCTATTGCCCTTTGAAGGATGCAAAGATACACTACAATATAGACCATGGCTGGTGAACAATTATGTATAGTATCTAGCGTTGTGTCATGTCTCTTGCAAAACTATTCAGATAATCAAATGCTGTAGCAGAACAGGAGATTTACCACATTTGCATTCAGTTTGTCACCAATAATCCCCACAGGAGCAAAAACCTTCATTGAAGTGATGGAACCTGTTGGCATCACGAACAACAATCTCCCTATGCACAATCCCCGATACCATCTTAGTAAAGGTATGGCAGTCACCACAGACTCTCAGATTCTTGGTAATTCTAATAGTTGTTCCTTCAGGTGTAGAAATAAGACCATAAGCAATTGCCAGTTTCTCACTATGAGTGTATAAAAACCCCGCTTTAAGTTCTTCATCCACATCATGCAGCACAAAATTAGTATCAGGAACATATCCTGCCTTCTCCAATTTCTCACTAAGTACCTTCAACATATCATAAATCTGCTCAGTTTGCGGATGGGTCTTATCACCAACTCTAAATTGATAAGTCTTATTATTAATCTCAACCCAAGTCCAACCTGGAATTTTCTTAACTCTCCTACCGGTCATTAGTTCTCTAACTTTGGCCACATCTTCCCATTTGCCGGCATTAGCATATATATTTGAAAGCAAAACATAGTAACCAGAGTGCCTTGGGCGTAATTCAAGAAGACTTTTCGCAGCATTTTCTGCTAAATTTATATTCCCATGGATCCTACAAGCACCTAAAACCGCACCCCAAAATCCCTCATCTTTCTCTACTGTCATCTCTTGTATTAGTTCCACTGCTTCATTTATTCTACCAGCACGACCGAAGAGATCGACCATACAAGTGTAATGCTTAACATCGGGTTGTACCAAGTAGTTCTTTTCCATTGAGTGGAAAAATTTACTTCCCTCATCTACTAATCCTGAATGACTACAAGCAGAAAGGATTGAAACAAAGGTAATCCTATTTGGCCTAATTCCACTCTCCAACATTTGGGAAAACAACTCAAGGGCTTTTCTTCCATGCCCATGAATACCATAAGCCGATATCATTGAGCTCCAAGTAATTACATTCTTTTCCTTCATAGCGTCAAATATCTCTCTAGCAGCATCAACACTACCACACTTAGCATACATATCAATCATCGCTGTCCCCAGAATTACATTGAGAGAGTGTTTTTTACTTAATATGTACTCATGGATCATTTTAGCCTTATGCATTGCCCCTAGCTTAGAACAAGCAAAGACCACTGTCACCATTGTAACCTTATCCGGAACAATCCCCTCTTCCTTCATCCGATCAAACAAAACCATTGATTCCTCAGGATTCCCACACTCTGCATATCCTGAAATCATGACCGTCCATGTCACCAAATCTTTCCTCCACATTTTATCAAACACCTTGCGTGCATCTTCAATGCACCCACATTTTGCATACATATCAACAAGAGCAGCCGACACGAAAACATCAGAACTCATTCCAGATTTATAAACAAGATGATGAATCTCCACCCCAATATTCAAACCTTGCGTATCTCTACATGCCCTCAAGGCAAAGGGCAGAGTGTAATTATCAATCCTCGAACCCGACCGAACAAAATCCCTAAAAATTCTCAAACAATTCTCATACTCTCCAATTTTAGCAAACCCACCAACCATTATACTCCAAGTTACATTATCTCTCTCCTTCATTCGATAAAAGATCGAATGGGCATCGTCTAGAGCTCTAAATTGGGCGTAAGTGTAAACAAGTTTGTTGGCTACACCGAGGTTTCCAATCATGGAAGTGGTGATGGCTTGGGCATGGGCTTGTTTGATCTGGGTCGTGGTTCGGCATTGGATTAAGGCGTAAACGAGTGATCTAGGGTCAGGGGAGATTGGGAGAAAATGGGTATCTTGGATTTGAATTGGTTGGCGATGCAAATGGGGTTGAATTGAGCCTAGAGTTATGGCAGGAGAAGCTGTAAGAGATGAGAAAGGGATGATTTCTGGTGCATGGAGAGGTTTAGAGAGTGTTAAGGATTTGAATTTGAACATGGCGCTATTATTAGCCGTTGAGAAAGAGGAGTTGGGTTCTTGTCGGCATTTATTCAAACATTTACGGGGAGATCAAAAGAGAGAGGAGATTGCCTTGTGGGGGGGAAAATTAATGAAGAGAACTTGCAGAGAACACCTTCTTCAAGGAGAGTTTTTGCATTCGAGTCTTCTGCAAATTGCAGATAACACCCTTTGTTTTAGGGGTAATTACGGAGAGAGGACCTAATGAGGCTGAATTAGATTCTAATTTGGTCGGGATTTTAATCGGAGAGAGTTAAGAACTTCCATAGGTTTTGTTTGACGCTGGAATTACACATCATACTATGCCTCGGAATGATACGGCAAATTTTAGGATTAATGTGGGTTTTCTTGGGAACAAACGGCGGGCAGCAAAGTTGCCCGTTGACGCACACGAGATAGCATTTAAAAGAAATATTGTAGCAGAGGAGGAACTGTAGCGTTCTTTGAAAATACTATAGCATTAATACTGTAGCACATGTATACTATAATAAATTTTAAAATCGTAGGATACTATAGCAATTCAAAAAAATACTCATTGTGGCATTTAAAAACATGATTACTGTAGCATGAAAAAAAGGAAAAATTTTTAAAATCAACCTTTTTGCCATTTTAAATAGCAAAATCGACCCTATATGAAATTATTCAGCAAAACCGACCATTTTCTTCTGAAAAGGGTCGGTTTTGCTATTGGAGAATTTTTACGAAATACACGGGACTGCTAGTCCCGTGTATTTCGCCCCAGCTTTGAATTGCACGGGACTATCAGTCCCGTGTTTTTTTGAGCAGAGAGAGCTCCTTCATTATCACCGCAGTCTCTCTCTTCATCTCTTCTCCATCTCTCCCTTCACCAGCTCCTCTCGGTTCTCTCTCTCCCCGAGTTCCGACCCGAGCTCTGCTGCAAGCCCAAGCCCCATGTCGCCACCTCCCAAGCCCGACGCCAAGCTCCTTCATCTCCCCCACCCGCCGCCTGCAATAGCGAGCTCCTCCCTCGACTCTGAGCTCTGACCCAACTCCACTCGCCATCAGCACCTCGCCGCTCGCCCTCAGCCCGAGCTTCACCTCGAGCTCCTCCTCTCCAGACCCATCACCGCCTTCCACCACCGCCACCAGCCCCACTCGTCTTCTCTCCGACCTCCACCCGCTCACGCCACCAGCTCAACCACAGCGTCGCCGATCTCCCCCCAGCTTTCCCCGTGAACTCTCCGCTGCTCAACCCCCTCCTCCCCGAGCTCCGCCTCCAGCCTGCTCGCCTCAGCCACCCCTCGAGCTGGGTCGAAATTGTTTGGAGAGAGAGAACTGAGAGGAGCTGGTGAAGGGAGAGATGGAGAAGAGATGAAGAGAGAGACTGCAGTGATAATAGAGGAGAGAGATATAAAGAGAGGGGAGAGAACGAATGTGACGGGGAGAAGGAGCTCTCTCTGTTCAAAAAAACACGGGACTACTAGTCCCGTGCAATTCAAAGCTGAGGCGAAATACACGGGACTAGCCGTCCCGTGTATTTCGTAAAAATTCTCCAACAGCAAAACCGACTCTTTTCAGAAGAAAATGGTCGGTTTTGCTGAATAATTTCATATAGAGTCGATTTTGCTATTTAAAATGGCAAAAAGGTTGATTTTAAAAATGTGTCCATGGAAAAAATCATCTTCGTGCACCGGCAACACACTAGTAAAGGGTAAATTTCAGAACACCAAAGTTGAGGTGTTTCTCAGATAAACCCTTCTTAACTTTCAAAATTACACAAAGTTCTCCTTCCCAAGAAAACCCTGTTTCAACCTTATAACACAGAAATTAATGATGACCAACTCATTATCCAATAGGAGGGAGACACCTCACTTGTCCCCTCTATTGGTCCCATATTTTGGGTCCTTGAGGAATTTTTCTTTTCCAAAACCCACCTCTAAGAGTGCGAAATTGCTTTTAGTCTTGTGGGTTCTTATTTTTTCAACTCAAAAGTTATATATTACTAACCAAACACAAGGAAACAAATAACCCCTTAATAATGCGCTACAAGCGGATATTTGAAAATTCGAATTTTAAATTAAATTGATAATATCTATATTTTAAAAATTAAACGACCTCAACCCCACTTGGGTGTTACTTGCAATGAGAGGGAAAGAATGCACGGTCGGTTTCTGCTCTGCTTTCCTTTCGCTTTCGCGCTCGCCCTCGCGTCTTATAAATGCTGAAAGCTGATGAAAGCAGACGATGGGGCTTGTAATTCTTTGAAATTGTAGCAGCCATGGCCAATGCTTGCACCAAGATTCTTCCCTCTTTGATCATCTTCTCTCTCCTCCTCTTCTCTCTTCTTCATGCGTCGAGCTCTAAGGACCCCATTGATTCAGGTAACCCAAGGTAGACTGCTTTTATTTAGATGCTGATCTTTTTGTTAATGGATCTTTTGATTGATTTCAGCTATTGGGTTTCTTTGGTGGTTGTGAATTTGATATGGGTTTGATAAATTTGTGGAGTTAAGGGCCTGTTCGTTTGCCTTAAAAAAATGGGAAATCAAAGAAATGGAAAATGAAGAATTGTTTTGGAGTGTTCGGTTGGCTAAAAAAAAAGGAAATCAAAGAAATAGAGATGAGATGAGATGAGTTGTCACATTATTATTGGATGATGTGAGTGATTTTTTAAGAAAACTAGTTTTGATGTTGTTCGGTTGGCGAAAAAAATAAGGAAATGAATTATAAGAAACCTATTTCCTGTAGTTTTCTTGTTTTCTTTTGTTCGGTTCATTCTTAAAAATAAGAAATGAAATGAGATGAGATGAGTTGTCATTGTATTATTGGTTGATGTGAAGAAAGATTAAGAAATGTGTTTTCATAACTTTTTGGGATGAAATGGAAGAAATGAAATGTTAATGAGATGAGGTGAATTGTTATAATATTTTATTCTATGATGTGAGTGATTTGAAATAATAAAAAGAGATGAGTTGAGTGATGTTTGGATAAAAATAATATTTTATTAGATGTGATGGATGAGTTGTTAGATGAAAATAATATTTTATTAGATGTGGTGGATGAGTGGTTAGATGAAAATAATATTTTATTAGATGATGTGGATAAGTTGTTGGATGAAAATAATATTTTATTGGATGTTGTGGGTGAGTTTTAGGGATGGAAATGGAAGAAATGGGTTATTTTGAGATTTCCACTATTTCCATTTCCATTTCTTGCTTTTTTGAAAACAAACGAACAGGCCCTAAGTAGATTTCCTCGTATAATTTTGATTGCCGTAGCTACATATGATTTTTTTTTGACAACTCAGTTGGAAATCGAACCCAAACCGTGAGAGTGATCATATTAGAACCTTCCAACCGTCCGATCAACCGTGGTGGGTTAGCCACATATGATATTTACATCATTATATTTAGAGGGTTGATCAGGTTTCTGGGATTTTTGAAATATTCTGTGTTATACATGTTGCTAGAGACATGTGGAAGGCTAAGGCGGCGGTTTCAAAGCAGCATGTGATTTCTATGCGTGTGGGGACCACTCATCAAAGAACTCGTTTTTTTTTGGTTTTTCGTTTCCACATGAGCCCACCCGAACCTTGACATGACCCGACTTCCAGCTGCTATAAAAGGGTCACCTAGGGTTTCGTGAAGAGGTGGTTCAAAAGGTGAGGGGTGCTGCAGACAGAGAGCAAGGCTACGGGAACTTTGCGGCTGCAGGAGCAAAGGACGGCTGGTAAAGGTGTAGTACTAAAAGCAAAGAGCAGTTGCAAAGAGAGAGAGAGAAATCAGCGGCTTTCTTTGGCTTCGTGCAAGTAGGCTTTTGTGCTTTTGAGAGAGATATTTGTGTGAGGGTTTAGATTGAGTGATTGTAAACCCTAGTTGTATTATCTCCTCTCTAATAGTAGATCTCCCCCTTCTTGCCCCGTGGACGTAGGCAGTTTGCCGAACCACGTAAAATTGGTTTGTTTGAGTTTGTGGTTATTGTAATAGCTTTTAGGATCCCTCGACGCGCAGTCCTAGAACTGACGAGAGGAAGAGCTAATATCCCACTTTGATGGGATATTAGGCTTTCAGATTCTTGTTCCCTTTGAGAAACAAGAATTCTTATCGATCTTTCTCTCTTATTGTGCACCAGAAACTCTGCCGAAATTTCCGCTGCGCACAACAATACATATAATATTAGGTTATTTCAGGAACATGTGATGATTTAGTTGTTTGTTATATTTCTTTAAAAAAATTTAAACCAATTCTATCAAAGGAAAAGAAAAAATAAATAAACCAATAGTCGTGATAAGTGTTTATTTCAGAAAAAGAAATAGGCATGCAAAGCTGATTCGATATCATTGTTTCAGTGGGCTAGCCTTTGTCTAAAAAAGGAAAAAAGACAAGTACCAGATACTTGAAGCTTTTTTTTTGTTTCTTTGATCCTAAGAGATTATGGTCAAAGTGGCTTATAAGACATTTTTATGGTTTATAAGCTATGGAGACATGTTTGGCAAACTATTTATTTTGGTTTATTAGTCAAAAATAAACAAATAAATAGAGGTAGGATAACTCAGCTTATTTTTTGGTGGCTTATAAGCCAACATAGTTTGACCGAGTAAAAACCACTTTACACCTTAGCATTTATGAAAATTCCAAAGCAATCTTTCTCTATTTTAACCATTTTTTCCATTTTGATAACGGATGAATTATAAACCACTTATTTGCTAAACATTCTACCATTAGAAATGGATTATAATCCACTAAATTTCCCGAACACTTTGGATCATAATCTACTTATAAGCCCTTTTATGGATTATGAGCCAAGTAGATTATAATCCAAATTTTCTAAACATTAATCCAAAAAACTCTACAATAGCAGCTTGATGTTGATCAAAGCATGTATACCTTCAGTCACACCTCTGTTATCATTCCTCGACTTCTTTAGTTCCACATACGGTCCATTAATTTTCCTTTGGGAAAGGATAAATTGCAGATAACCCCTTCTTGTGAATTGAGGGGTGTTAAGTTCTACTTTGTGGTATAGATGCGAGAACTTGTTAAACCGTGTATTTAGCAAGTTATGCCCCAGGACATACAGTTGGAGCTTTTTTGGCTTGTTAAGCAACTCATAACTAATTGATTTTTCTCACAATATCTAGATGTGTTTACATGAAAACAGTAAGTTTATAGCGTTCAACCTATAGATAAAACCTTCACAAATTGTTTATCTTACTTTTTTAATCATGAAGATGTGAAGCAAAATTATATTATTCCATTACATCCAAAATCAACAAAGAAATTGGAACATCTTCAAACTACGGTGTATGGTTCCGGTTCCATTATGATACTCAATTTTCTCACAGTATCACGATGAACAATATTTTTGAGAAAATGGGCAAGACGATAGCATCAACC